CAGATCAATTCCTGGCCAGGCACATGCACAGGTTGGGGGCTCAATCCCCAGTCAGGGCATGCAAGAGGCAGCCAATCCATGTTTGTCTCTCATTGGTGTTTCTATTTCTCTATTCCTCTCCCTTCTTCTCTCTCTAAAATAAATAGAAACACACACACACACACACACACACACACACACACACACACATATATATATATATATGTATATATATATATATATATATATATATAATTTTAATGGGTTCTGGATTTAGTCAAATGCTTTTTCTGTGTCTATTGATATGATCATGTGATTTTTATCCTTCATTTTGTTTATGTGATGTATCATATTTATTGACTTGCAAATATTGTACCAAACTTGCATCCCTGGAATAAATCCCACTTGGTGATGGTGTATGGTCTTTTTAATGTATTGCTGGATCTGATTTGCTAATATTTTCTTGGGGATTTTAGCATCTATGTTCATCAGGGATATTGGCCCATAATTTTCTTTCTCTGTAGTGTCTTTATCTGGTTTTGAATTAGGATAATGCTGGCCTCATAAAAAGAGTTTGGAAGTCTTCCCTTCTCTTGAATTTTTTGGAATAGTTTGAGGAAGATGGGTGTTCTTTGAATGTTTGGTAAAATTCTTCTTTAAATCCATCTGGTCCAGGACTTTTGTTTGCTGGGAGTTTTTTATTACTACTTCAATTTTATTAGTTGTTATTGGTCTATTCAGATTTTCTGATTCCTCCTGATTGAGTTTTGGAAGATTGTATGTTTCCAGGAATTTGTCTGTTTCACCCAGGTTGTCAAGTTTGTTGGCATTGAGGTGTTCATAGTATTTTCTTATAATCTTTTATATTTCTGTGCTTTTTCTGTGTCTACTGTGGTGTCAGTCATTATTTTGCCTTTTTCATTTCTGATTTTATTTATTTGGGTCCTCTCTCCTTAGTCTGGCTAAATGGTCATCAATCTTATTTATATTTTTGAAGCAGCAGCTCTTGGTTTCATAGGTCTTCTGTACTGATTTTTTTAGTCTCTATGTCATTTATATCCACTCTGATTTTTATTTCTTTCCTTCTGCTTACTCTGGGCTATTCTTGCTGTTCTCTTTCTTTTTTAAAAGATATTTTTATTGATTTCAAATAAGAAGGGATTGAGCCTGCAACCTGAACATGTGCCCTCCTGGGAATTGAACCATGACCTCCTAGTTCATAGGTCAATGCTCAACCACTGAGTCATTCTGGCTGGGCTTTTTGTTCTCTTTCTAATTCTTTTAGTTGTGCAGTTAGATTGTTAATTTGATATTTTTTCTTGTTTCTTCAGGGAAGGCCTGGAATGCTATGAACTTCTCTCTCAGGGTTGCTTTTACTGTGTCCCATAGATTTGGGGTTGTTGTGTGTTCGTTTTCATTTGTTTCCAGGAAGTTTTTTAGTTCCTCCTTGATCTCATTGATAACCCATTCATTGTTTAATAGCATTCTATTTAGCCTCCAGGTATTTGAATGTTTTTAGTTTTTTTTATTGTAGTTGATGTTTAGTTTCATGCTATTGTGATCTGAGAAGATTATTGATATAATTTCAATCTTCTTAAACTTGTAAAGACATATTTGTGTCTTAATATGTGGTCTATCTTTGAGAATGTTTCATGTGCACTTAAGAATGTATATTCTGCTGCATTGGTATAAAATGTTCTGTAAATGTCAATTAAATCCATCTGATACAGTGTTTCATTTAAAGTCACTGTTTCCTTATTTATTTTTTTGGTCTGGAAAACATATTAAGTGAAGTCAGCAAGGTGTTAATGTCCCCTACTATGACTATATTGCTGTCGATCTCTCCCTTAAAGTCCTCTAGCAGTTGTTTAATATTTTTATGTGCTCCTATATTTGGTGCATATACGTCTACCAGGGTTATATCCTCTTGTTGGATTGATCCCTTTCTATTATGTAGTGACCTTCATTGTCTCTTGTGAAGTCTATTTTGAAGTCTATTTTGTAAGATATCAGTATTGCTACCTCCACTTATTTATTTTTCATTTCCATTTGCTTGGATAATTCCTATAATTCTTTTCCATCCCTTCACTTTCAATCTGTATGAATCTTTTGTTCAGAGTTGGGTCTCTTGTAGACAGCATATATATGGGTCATGTTTTCTTACCCATTAGCTAACCTATGTCTTTTGATTGGAGCATTTCATCCATTTATATTTAAGGTTATCATTGATAAGTATTTATTTATTGCCATTTTTATTTTTATGCATATATATACATATATATATATATATATATATATATATATATATATATATATATATGCTGTTCTTCTTACAACAGTCCCTTTAGCATTTCTTGAAATGCTAGTTTCTTGGTAATAAACTTCTTTAGTCTTTTTTTGGTCTGGGAAGCTCTTTATTTCACTTCAATTTTGAATGATTGCCTTGCTAGATAGAGTAGTCTTTGTTTCAGATCCTTGCTTTTCATTACTTTGAATACTGTCCCTTCTGTCCTGTAGTTTTTTCTGCTGAGAAATAAGGTGACAGCCTTATGGGAGCTCCCTTGTAGGTATCTGACTGTCTTTTTCTTGCTGCCCTTAAAATTCTATCTTTGTCTTTAACGTTTTCCATTTTAATTATGATGTGTCTGGTGTTGGTCATTTTGTGTTCATCTCAATTGGGACTCTCTGTGTTTCCTGAACCTGTATGGCTTTTTCCTTCACCACGTTAGGGAAGTTTTCTGTCATTATTTCTTCAAACAGGTCCTTTATCCCTTGCTCACTTTCTTCTCTCTCTAATGCCCCTATGATGCAGATGTTATTCCATTTCATGTTGATATAAAGTTCCTTTAAACTCTCCTCATGTGGTTTAAGTTCTTTTTTCTTTTTGCTGCTCTAACTGAATGTTTTCTCCTACCTAGTCTTCCAAATCACTGATTCGATCCTCTGCTTCATCAAGCCTGCTTTTAAGTCCTTCCAGTGTACTCTTTATGTCAGATATAGTATTCTTTATTTCTGGCTGGTTCTTGTTCATGGTTTCTATGTCCTTTGTCATGTTGATGTAGTTTACACTAAGTTCCTTGTAGTTCTTACTAAATTCCTTAAGCATCTTTATAGTCATTAACCTGATCTCTATGTCTGATAAGTTACTTACCACATTTAGGTCTTTTTCTGGTGATTCCTCATTTTATTCCATTTGGAGGTTGTTTCTTTGTCTCCCCATTTTAGTTGTCTCTTTGTGTTTGTGGTGTAGCCTTTGTAGTAAATATCCCATGGGACCCACTTGGTGCTGTCTCTTTGAACTCCTGAACTGGATATTCTAGGAGTGACCCTTTTGTGTGTTATTTGGGCCCTCCTTTTATAATTGGATCTTGATTATTGCTGTCCCATTCATGGTTGGGATCTCCTCTCAGGCTGGCTAACTGTGAGGCTCAACCCCACCCACATTGTCTGAGCTGCTGTACAGGCGCAGTCTTGAGGTGGTTTCTGCCCTTCTTTGTTTAAAGTCTCCTCTCCAGACAGTCTTCATCTGGTCTTTCAGAGAGAATATTCTCCAACTTAGTTTAAATTCCAGTTAAATTCTGGAAGGTGATGAGAGACAGATCCCCTACCAGACCACCATCTTCCAATGCCCCCTCTGTAAAGAATTTTTATAAGAATTTGTTTGAACCCAAATGACAACAATGCTAGGAAGCAAGATCTCAAGTGCTCCCCAGTTTGGGTTTTCTAACCCTCACCTCAGACCTTCCAGGCCTCCACTCGCCACCCAGTTCTAAAGCCACAACCACACTCTTAGGTGTTGGTGACATCACACCCCACTTCTGGTACTAAAGTCCACATTTATTTCCTATGTCAGCTGTACCGTAGTCCCACAGACCCAGTGGACTTAAACAACAGAAATTCACTGTCAAAGACCTGGACCCTGGGAGTCGAGGTCAAGAGTCACAGGGCCAGTGACCCCAGGTTATAGGGGGATGGCCAGGCCCTCCCCACTGCTGCTCTGGGAGCTGCTGACATCCTCTGCTTGTAGAGCTCCTCTGTGCATGACCTCTCCCTGTGCGTGTCTCTGTGTCCAAGACCCACTCCTGTAAAGACAAAGTCCTATGGGGTTTGGAGCCACCTGACTCCAGCAGGACCTCATTATCTTATGGGGAGGGGAGATAGCCCTGCTGAGAAAGTGCAGGAAAATATGAGAGCAGGGTCATCAGACACTTGGGAGAGCAGTGCAATGGGGTCTGCCGCCAGAGGACCTGTAGAGAGCCCATGGTGCCACTGCCCAGCCAGACGGCTTGCATGCCAGCTGAATCACAGGGACCTGTGGCCCTGTCCCAGCACCGACAGGCAGTATGGGGACAGGGACATGGGAAGAGGTGGAGCAGAGGTGCCATGAGACTAAGATAGAGCAGTGCTCTTAGGGACCCCGTGTGGGTTCCTCCACCTTGGTCACCCAGGTCCCCACAGAAAGGATGAGGAAGCTGTGAGCCAACCCACCAGGGAGCTGCCAGTCCCAGAGCCCATCATCCATGAGTGACAGCCCTACAAGCATCCAGGCCTGAAGTACTTGCAGGATGTCACCTGTCTGGACATTGGCTGATGGAGCTGTGTGCCCCCAGATTCCCCCAGGACAGGGCTGAACAACCCCTCTGAGACCAAAGTCACTGACAGGCTGGTCCCAAGCACAGAGCCCTTGGGAGCAGGAGTTGGGGATAGGAAGGGCTGACCTCACTGCTGCTCAGGTGACGACACACAAGTCCAGCCATGCTCTGCCTCACCTGCCAGGCAACTGAGGCCCCCAGGCCCGTCACCCAGGGCACACCCTGAGCTGGGGTATCCCTCCACCCCTCACAGCTCCATGGGAGGGGTTAGGACAGGAGGTGCATAGAGCAAGGAGACTTGGCCTCCCCTCCAGGGCTCTGCCAGGCCCCCCAGGACCGGGGCCTCTCCTCCCACACTGCCCTGTGCCCTGGGGAGTGCCCGGCCTCAGAAGCACCACCTGTCTGTCTTCCAGGTGTGGCTGTGCTCCCATGGTCCCAGAGTGCAAGGCCCCCAAAGAAGGCGTCTCCGTGACCCTGGCCTGCTTGGTGACGGGGTCTGACTCAGCCACCTGGCACATAGGAGCAGAGAAGCTGCCAGCAAATGACGTTGTGATTGGACATTTGGTGCAGAGGGTCACCTACCTCTTCTACCAAACCATCGTCTGGAAGCCTGGCTCACACAGCTGCAGCACCGATCACACGTCCAAGACCTTCCAGTGGCCAGGTGGGTGGCCTCCAGCATGTCCCAGCATCTTCCAGGGCCTGACCTCAAGGACCAAAGCAGGGACTGGGCCCCGATGGGCACCCAGCCACCCCTCAGAGCAACTCACTCCCTACCCCCAACTCTGCCCTCAGCTGCTCCAGCTCCAGCATTCGAACCCAGCCCCTTCCACCCTTGTCCCCAGAGTGCTGGAGGCAGCACCCCAAACCCAGCCCCGCCCCTGCCCTACCCATGTCTTCCCTTCCACCCGAAAGCCTGTCCCCCCCTTCGTCCACGATGCTCTCTGACCTCGGCTGCCCACTGCCCCTCTGGTTTCAGCATCTTGGAAAACTCAGGCCATCTCAGTGACCCACGTGCCACCTCTCTCAGAGAAACTCACCCCAGCCCCCACCACGGCCAGAGACCCAGGTGAGGAACCCCTCTGCCAGCATACCCCTACCCACCTGCCCATGCCTTAGGCTGCCTCCTTCAGGCAGCCCTCCATGACTTCTGGGAGTCTTCAGTCACATTCTGGTCAGGAAGGGCGGGGCCCTGAACTTATGGCTACTGAGCACCTACCGTATGCCAGGCCCTGTGTTGAGTGACACTGAGGCCTTCAGGTGCCAGGGACCAGCCTAGGTCACACTGCAGGGAGCACAGTGGATGAGGAGGGCCTTGGGCCAGCCCTGTGAGCTTCTTCTGGAGGCTTTTGTGGGGACTCATTGCCAGCGCAGCCAGGAGTGCGGAACCCAACCCCTGACCCTCACAGAAACACAGGGCGCCCCCTGAAGGCTGGGGTTGTGGTGGTGCACCCAGGGTCTGCCAGCCAGAAGATGGTGCTCATGCTCTGAGCGGGCTGCCAGTGCTGGCAGGGGTGTGCTGGGCAGACACAGGGAGTCCCGACCTGCGGTGGCCCCACCAGGTTGGTGGTCCGGACGCCCACACCCCCAGCTGCAGTTGGTGCCTGCTGTCGCGTCCAGAGGGTTTTTCAAAATGCTGACACGCCGAGCTCAAAAGGTTCGCCATCACTGCCCTAAACCATAGGAGGAGTTGTCGTATGGATGGTCCTTGAGCACCTGGCAGTCGGTCACAGCCACCAGGCCAACAGGGTCCCGCCAGAACCGGAGGCGCACTCCGGGGCACCGACACAGGGACAATGTGGCTGGGGTGGGGCTCAGACATGCACCTCACAGCTGGGGCCATGGAGAGGCCACAGCCCCGACCATGGCCCCCCTCACCCATCCACTTCCCTCTCAGGGCCCCAAGGTCCCCTGAACCCAGGGGTCACGAGGGATCCAGCCACCATGCCCCAGACCCCGGCCCGGGTCCCAGCCAGAAGCTGGGATGTTGGACCCTTTCTCTGAGGCCAGTCCCTGGGGCATGGACCAGGGGGAGCAGGGAAGGAACGGGCCAGGGGCCTCACATGTCCTCTCTCCACAGCCCTTCTGGCCACCTCCCCCGGCAAGGACTCACATTCTCCAGAGCCTTCCCGTGGCCCGGGCACAACCGGGGTTCTCCCTGCAGCTGCCACGGCGCCCAGCAGCCTCGCCGTCCGGGTCCTGGCCACGCCGGGCGCTCACACCTCTGCCCGGGCGGCCTCCTGGCTCCTGTGCGAGGTGTCGGGCTTCTCGGCCCCGGAGCTGCTCCTCACCTGGCAGGAGGGCCGGCGCCAGGTGGACTCTTCTTGGTTTGCCACCGCGGGCGCCCACAGCCGAGCCTGGAAACAGCACGTTCCGCACCTGGAGTGTCCTGCGGGTCCCGGCCACCCCCAGCCCCCCGCCGGCCACCTACACGTGCGAGGTCAGGCCCCCGGCCTCGGAGGCTGCTCAACGCCAGCTGGAGCCTGGACACTGCAGGTTAGGCACCCCCAGCCCTGTGCCACCCCCCGGGACAGCCCCACCCGGCTGACTTGGTGTCTGGAGTTTGCACTCGCTGTCCCCACACTTGGGGATTTGGGTGACCTGACACCTGTTCGTCCCACTCATTCCTGGTATCCCCACGGTGGGCGCTGACCCAGGAGGGCGGGAGGCTGGGGCCCCCCGCCAGGTCCCGAGGAGCAGCCATTTCCTGTGAAGACACACCCGTCACTGGGCACGGAGCAGGGCCTCCTCCAGGGTGGACATCGGGTGGTCACCACAGATGGCTCCTTCCGCCCCCCCCCAAGAGATGTCCGAGCCTCTCCAGGTTCCAAGGGCCCCAGGACCCGTCCCAGCACCTTGGGAACCAGGTGCACCCAGAAGGGAGGGCTGGACCCCACGCTGACTGTGGAGGGAACAGAGACCCACAAAGTGGGGCTCACCCTCCCCTCTGAGGCTTCCTGCCAGGCCGCCCATTGTGCACGGCACCCAGACCCTGCCCCGTCTTCGCCCTCCAGGCCCCCGGGGACGGGATGGGCATGCTGGGCCAGGTTGTGAGCAGGACACCATCCAGGCCGCCCAGCGCTCACCTGCCAACCTGTGCTCAGTGTCCACAGCACCACAGGCTGCGTGGGTTGTGGAGATGGCCCTGCCCCCTGGGCGGGTCACGAGGGATCTGGTCACCAGGCCCCAGGCCCCAGCCCGGCTCTCAGTCTCTGTGGTAATAGACGGCTGCCCTTTAAATCTCCATTTCTCAGAGGACCCCTGAGTTCAGAGCATGTGATTAGGAATAAATCACTAATTACTCGAAGAATAAAATGACGAGAAAAGCAAAGTTGTACCCGCTTTTCATTGTTAGAGCCAACAGACTGCAAAGCCTTGGCGTTCACTCATGCCCGGCCCACCTCCCGCACCCCACGCCACAGACAAGGGGCCCGGCGGCCTGCACTGCATGCTGGTTCCCAGGCCCACTTCCTGCCTGGCCCGGGGCACCCAGCCCAGGGCTGGGCAAGTCCCCCTCCCAATCCAGCAGGATGACGATGCCATACTCCAACCTGGCGTGTGCCCTGGCTCACAGCCATGCCACTCCTCCTGCTGCCGTCTGGGCCTGCACCCCTCCGGGGCCTGGCCTCCTGCCCCCTCCATCCTCCTGGGCCAGGCTCTCTCCCAACTCAGGGCATCCGTGCATGCTGTTCCTTCTGCTTAGAATGCTGTTCCCTCCTCTCTTTGCCTGGTTGGCAATATCTCATCTTCCACAGCTCATCACAGCTGCCACTTCCAAGCACTGTATATGCTTTTAAATATGGTTATTGATTTCAGAGAGGAAGGGAGGAGAGAGAGATAGAAACATCAATGATGAGAGACTGGGGGTCAAACCTGCAACCCGGGCATGTGCCCTGACCGGGAATCGAACTGTGACTTCCTGGTTCGTAGGTCTATGCTCAGCCACTGAGCCACATGGCCAGGCCCAGCTGCCACTTCTGAGGGAGGCTCCACGGCCAGGATCCCGGAGCCAGTCCCTGTGCATCTGCATCTTCTTACTGCCGGCGCCTCCCTGGCTTTCTGGTCACACGTGTGTGGACTTACGTGCCATGTTTCGTTCTGGTTCACCTGCCCCAATCGGTGCTGTGACCTATCTGGTTCTGCTGTGCCGGGCACGGGCCTGGCCATGAGAAGGAGGGGTGCAGATGCCTGTTGGGTGGGTGACAGGGTGGGCACTGGACGGTATGAGCTGTCACCTGGCATGCAGGAGCCGCTGTGCGCTGTGAGGCCGCAGGACTGACCTCAGCAGCGCCGCTTCCTCCCCAGGCCTGGCCCCGCCCCTCTGGGGCCCCCTGAGCATGCAGGAGGACTGTGATGGCTACGCCCACCTGGACGATGCCAGCCACCTGTGATCCACCTTCCTGGCCCTCTTCCTCCTCACCCTGCTTTACAGCGGCTTTGTCACCTTCGTCAACGTGAAGGGCAGGGACATCCAGGGGGCTCGCTGGAGCCGGCCAGGGACTGTGCGGAGCCGGGAAACCCGGGCAGGAGGACAGTGGGCTGTGGGCACTGGCCCGGCCTGAGGGAGCTGCCTGGGGCCCTCGCAGGAACACTGCATGCCTGGCCTCAGAGCCGGCCCTGACCCAGGCGCCTCCTCCCGTCCACCCTCTGGCCAGCCCATAAACAGTTCTGGCTCCTTGCACCTGCCTCCTGTTTCTGTCCCTGCCCTCAGGATCTGCCTCTGGCCACTGCACCAGGTGCTGAGAGGCCGCTTTCAGCAGGGCTGCCACGGAGGACCCAGGGGCCTGTCCACGCAGTGGACTGGGCTGGGAGGCCGTGAACACACACAGGCAGGCTCACTCTGCAGGTGCACAGATCTATACACTCACACAGCTCACACGGAAGCAACATGCACAGTGCACACATGCAGCATGCCCCTGTACACAGTTCACACACAAATGCACACATGTGTGCACACATGTGCCGGCCTACAGGCAACATACAGGCTTCACACGCACATTCCCGGAACCTGTCAGTCAGGACATTGAGATGGGAAGGTTCTTCTTGTCGCTGGGCAGTTTCATCACAGAGAGAAGCTGGCACTTACCGCTGCATGGCCAGCTGTGTGGGGACAACCAGGGGGGACAGCCATGGGACAGCCATGGGAACAGCCATGAGGACAGCCATGGGGACAGCCATGGGACAGCCATGGGACAGCCATGGGGACAACCATGGGAACAGCCACGGGACAGCCATGGGACAGCCATGGGGACAGCCATGGGGACAACCATGGGAACAGCCATGGGACAGCCATGGGGACAGTCACAGGGGACAGCCATGGGGACAGTCATGGGGGATGGCCACAGGGACAGCCATGGGAACAGCCATGAGGACAGTCACAGGGGACAGGCATGGGGGACAGACAAGAGGGACAGCCATGGGGGACCATCACAGGGGACAGGCATGGGGGACAGACAAGAGGGACAGCCATGGGGGACAGTCATAGGGGACAGCCATGGGACAGTCACAGGGGACAGCAATAGGACAGCCATGGGGACAGACATGAAGGACAGTCATCGGGGAGAGCCCTGGGGAAAACCACGGGGGCTATCACAGGGAAGGGCCACTGGGGACAGCCACAGAGGCAGCCACAGGGCACTGCCAGGAGCCCAGGGGTGTGGGTAACCCAGAAGCTGGAAAAGGCCAAGTGGGTGCTCCCTGGAGCCTGTGGGAGGGGAGAGGGGCGGGCCCAACCACACCCTGAACCTGCCCAGTGAGGCTGGGCGAGGACCCAGGGAGGCCATTTGCCCCAGCAGCCGAGGAAAAGGAGCACAAGGCTGCGCTCCACCCTGTCCCATTTCGGCCGACTCCCGGCCTGGTCTCCTCACCTGGTCGTGTGGTCTCCGTGCCAGAGGCCCAGGGTCACAACCGCAGGGTCTCCCTGCCCACCCCCTGGAGCCCTGTTTCAAGATCTCAGATGAGACCCCGGCTCCCCACAGCCCCAAAGTCCCTCATATCTTATGAGAAATCAGAATGGGGTCCTTGTGGGGCCCGGCTGCCCTGGCCTCCTGTCTCTTCATCCCT